AGACGTCGACAAACCACCTTWAGATCTTTTAATTTCCGTAAAACCCTCTTCATGTAGGAACCATTMTGAGGTTTCGACCAAACCTCCTCAACTGAAACAAGGAAGTCCTTATGAGATGTTACAAAGTTGTCAAACTTAAAGCCACGCTGTCTTATACGTCTTCCAACATGAAAAGAAAGAACGCCCGGAGAATGATCAGAAATCCCCCTAGGTTCAAAAAAAGCCGAAGCATCCCCAAATCTAGAGAGAAAATTCGAATTGCCCAAGATACGATCAAGTTTTCGCATAACACCCTCTCCCCCCGCAGGTTTCTGGATCCACGTAAATTGACATCCTTGGTAAGAAATATCATATAATTCAGCCTCCTCAAGACAGGTATGAAAATCCTCCATGTCAGAATTCCTCCGGGAGGAACCCTCCATTTCGTCATAGTTTACATTAAATGACATTAAAGGGTATAACTGGCTTGTTTCCTCATTTTGAGTCTAATTGAGTTATAATGGTGCTAAATGGGTCATAATTAGTCTAATCAGAAGTTAATGGGAGCAATTGAGGTAGAATGTGTCTTTTTTTTTTTTGAAGGAAAACTTCGGCAAATTTATAAAACGTAATAAAAAGTTTTACAACGCAACCAAAAAACAGAAAGACCGCAACCTACAACAAAAAACCCCAAGGCCAAAGGAAACACCCCAACCCGAGCCACAACAAGCCAAAATAAACAAAGCCCATAAGACACAAACAAACAACAAAAGAAGATAAAAAAAGAGAAGTGTAACCCAAACCATCGCCTCCCAGAACCAAAAACAAGCCTTCAAGTCAACCATAAGTAACCACTGGACGACTCGCCAACCAATCTGCACGAATGGAGATAGACTCCATAATAACAGCAGTAAGATCCTGAGCCGTACGCTTAGTCACAGAAAAAAGTCTTCTATTACGCTCTTGCCAAATATAGTAAACAGTAGCCGCCACAGCAAGTTTCTGCTTTAACAGTTTCGGACGAATATTAGGATCCGAAATAACTTGAACAATCTGTTCCCACCTTGAAGGCAAACCCGTCATATCCACCATAAGTAAAACACTAGTCCATACAGCTCCAGCATACGAACAATGAAAGAATAAATGATCATGACAACCCAAACATTGACCACAAACCGAACACTCCAAATCTGGGGGCTCATCCTTCCAATGTAAGCGGTCTTGAGTCGGAAGCCTTCTCTGACAAGCCAACCAAAAACAGAAAGCATGCTTCGGAATATGACCCGAGAACCAAACCAATTAGGACCAAGGGATCACAGGATGATTACCCTCTAAGGAAGCCCAAGCCTTACCCACTGTAAAATCCGAACACAAAGTATAATTATCTCCCCAAAGAACTCTATCAYAATCAGAGGWCAATAAAGGTAGCGGAGAATTATGAAGCATATCAAACCGTTGACACCAATCATCAGGCCAATTACCATTCCAGYTTRTAATAAGATCACGAACCGTCGTTAAGGTAGAAAACCCACAAGAATGGACAAACCGGTAAGAGATAAACGCGGATAGAGGACCACAAGGTAACCAAACATCCTCCCAAGCATTCGTGTTCCGACCATCACCAATTTGAGAAAAAAGAAACCGACGCAAATGACTCCGCAAGTCTAAAAGTTTATGAAAAACCCAAGACCAATTAGAATTCTTACGAACCATCCAGAAATTCGAAGAACGGAGATTATTACTATAAATCCAACGAACCCACATAGAATCCCGTCGCCTAGCAATATCCCACACATGTTTTGCAAGTAAAGCCCGATTCCAAGTGGTGAGTCTTTTAATTCCA